AAAAAGGAGCAAAACAAATACGGACCTCTAAACCATCAGAGGTGGGATCAGATGCCATGGAGGAGTGAGCATTCCCTGCTGACCTGTCACAACCGCCGTGGGCTCCTTGTCATGACAGGGAAATAACGGGAAAATATACATTATATACATTTATAGAAATAGCAAACCTATAATAGTATCTCATTGAATAGAAGTATGGGAGACTAAATCAACAATCAAAGAAAAAAGACTTAATTACACTACTTCTCATTCGTCATATTCTCATTGGATAAAATTTTACCCCAATAAAGATCTAGAACTAGGTATTAAAGCCCTGCTAAATGAAATTATAGTGATAATAAAAACACTATTTTGCAAGACGTTGCATTGGTAAAGAACATTTAAGTTTTAATTGAACATTTATGAATAAATATAAAAATAATAATTCTAGGTGATGTGAATCCTTAAACACGCAAAACAAATCCTTTATTATTATTTAATCCAAGATGAATACTATATGTGAAAATTAACACATGAGATTCTGTTTGGTCAATAAAGTGAAAATTTTCATATACAAAGATTCATAAACGCGGGTAATTACCGTTCATGCTACTTTTGTGCAATAAAATTGTATAAATTTTGTAATTAATAACATTAATAACAAGAAAAACTTTGTGATGACATTTCCTAGAATTGTATTTTATTCACTGCCATTGGGAGGATGAAAAATGTGAAGATCATCAGTGATCTAACTAACATAAATCTACAAACAGAAATTTCAGAGGTGGAAGCAGGTGCCTAGGAGGAGCAAGCATCCCCTGTTGCTTGTGGCCTAGCACAGCTGTATGGCCATAAAAAAATCTTGATCAGGGACCCGTTTTTATGACTTAAGATCTGTCTTAAGACCGAAATTAAGATTGCACCACAGCCTTTTCACAAAACTGTCATATATTTTTTGATTATACCGTTCAAAGAAAAATATAATTAAAAAATTTAAAAATTATGATCTATCATAATCATTTGATAGACATGTTTTAAGTCTAAAGTGAAACTGGTGATAGTATATCTTTTGGCTAAACACCCGGGCAGGGATATTAAAAGAAAATGGTTTTTAAAGATAGAACAATTCTTTGGACTATATTGGCCCCCTCCAAACTGAAATTGCACGTACCCCCCTTTCATAAAAATGCTCCCTAATGCCATGTATATTATTACATGTATATGTACATGCATGTAAAATCCAGATATCAAAACCTTATCAAATGTATATAATATCCTGCAAGAATTCCACAATACCTATAACCAACATTGCTAACTTTTGTAATTTATGAAATGGCTTAAGTAACTCGAGATGCATACATGTAGTTTGTTGTTGGGATAAGTAAAAATACATGTATTTTGAATATATAAAAATACGAAATACGTAAGTGCACTTTTCTTGATTGGATAAGTCGATGAAAGTAAAAAAAAAAAAAAACGAACATTTGTGTACCTACCCTGCATTTTTAAGATGCTTTACTGTAATTTATTTTGTTGAATTTTTTTTTCTTTTTTTCTTTCAGAAATTTGAAAGTAAACATTTTATTTACTCGCATAAAAATGAAAATCAAATAGTTTTAATTCTTGAGGTATCCCTCATTAATCCACCGGAATGTGTATGAAAACTAAATATGTTGTTACATTTTATCGTGTTTGTACATGCTTTCGTAATATTGAAATGGTAAAATTTTGATTGGAAATAATTATTGTTTCGTTTCTATTCTTCATCTGTTAGAATTGTTATTTTGTTGCAGTAGTTGAAGCACCTTCTTCGAGTTTTTGTGAACGAACTTTTAACATGATTTGTTGTTTCAAAATGATTCATTGGTAAAATGAATCATTATTTGCAAAGGTTCAGATACACTAGTAGCTTTATTTGAAAGTACTAATATGTTGACGGTGCGACCGTTAGGGCGAGCGCAGATACTTATCCAGTTTTCATTTAGATCGGACTCGTCAAACCGCACGTGACATTCGGTGCGTATAAGACTCTGACGTCACATGACGTCGTTTGCATGTTGCTTTACCAAACCGAAGCCTGAACAGGGCTGATTTCAATCAGTTTATGACTATTTTTCTGCAATAAACAGATAAATTCATTAAATCAAGGCAAGTTTATTTTTCTTTTAACTTTTATCGTTATTCTCGCGAGAACGTGGCTTTAGCGTTTGTATACGAAGCGATGCATTGTGGGTCAAAATTACTGCGGAAAAAATTCTATGGAATGAATGTGCAGTAGTCCGAATTTTCTCTTCGCCCAGGCGTTGTCGTTAGAGCTCGCAGTAACGAGCGTCGCTTCGCGACGCTCGCTGCGCTCGCTATCATCAGCAACTGCTATTTTCTGAGCAAAAAGACATTTAAGCAGATATTTTGTAATGAAATTAAGAAAATAATTCAAATTTAGTTTTTATGGTCCCTGAACACAACATACAAAGTATATAAAAGTTGAAGCAATAAAATGTTTTCTTCCGAGGGTATATATGAGATCTAGACAGAGTATACATGTAATTTTAAAAAAAATTAAAGACAGACAACTAAACTTTGTCCAGGCATAACTTAAAAAAATCCCTGTCATATTGAAGAATGGAATTTGTCTTAAAACTTGTCTTAAGGTTTCTTTTACTTACTTTGTGAAACAGCAGAGACAAATCTTATGATTGTTAAAAGTCAGATCTTAAGATGATCATAAGATCCATCTTAGGACAAATATTATGATAGGTTTGTGAAACCCGATCCTGGTAGAAAGAATAGTCCTTTGTCAAATTTAATACAAAACGAAGCCTTACCATTCCTATTAAACATGTCGACTAAATTATACATTAATATCTAAAGATCATTGATACAACAATAGAATTTAACAGACGCTGAATTTAAACGAGGTTGTTTAAATCCTTGTTACATCAACTTGCTTCACAGTAACATGCCTTTCTTTTAAAGTCGATCGAACCCAAATCGGGTTACTCCCCGAACGTCTACTACCTATATAAACAGTATAATTATCACACTCAATTAAGAGGCCCTCTGAGGGACACAGGTAGAGTTTACCTGTGTTACCTGTGTTATCATGATCAAATATATTTATTTTTCTGATAAAGAATATGTACCAAACCACAAGTTATTTGATTAAATAACTAAATTTCAAGACACTAAACAAGTGTTTTTCATATAAATATTTTTATTTCAGTACATTTTATTACAAGCTCTATGACACAATGTATGTTTCACAAATACATATAGTAAAATCAATTATCTTAAGATTAAAGTTTTATCATGGAGACTTAAAACGATTTTGAAAATGATAAATTGTTATTACATTAAATGTATTCAGAGTAAATGCTTAAAACTTAAGCTGAAACGGACATAAAAATTATTAAGTACCATAAAAAAGATAAAAGAATTCAACAGATGTATTGAAAAACATTAAAAAGAATATATCTACAATGTAAAAGAAAACCAAAAAGACTTTTTTGTCAGTTTATACATGTTAAATGCATTTAAATTGTAAAAATATAAACATTTGCTGCTTTGAAACATTTTGATTAAAAAATAAATAGAATTAAAGATAAATTAGCAAATAAATTAACTTTTTTTTCTAATTTAAATGAAGGTAGTTTAATGCTACAAAATTAAAATAAATACTTTGAAAATTTGAGTAGAAAAATATTTACAAATTTGAAAAATATTCAATTCATTTTATAGGAATTATTGGCAAGATTTTTGAAACACTGATTAATATAAATTGACTTAAATACCTAGTAAATACTTTGAAAATTTGAATAAAAAATATTCAAAAATTTGAAAAACATTTAATTCATTTTATAGGACTTATTGCTAAGATTTTCACTATATATCTTATAAGTCTTTGACACATTCATATAAATGCAGGTAGTTTATTCATAGAGTTTGAAACACAGGTAACTAGGTAGTAGACGTTCGGGGAACACCCCCCCCCCCCACTATCGAATAAGTTAGGAGACGTTATATAAACACGGAATATCACTACACAAATAAGAAAAGTTGTCGATATTAAAGCTGATATAATCTGATTTTCATTTAGTTTATTCTTAAAATATCATGTATGAAATTGATGTGGCAGACTCTATGGCGTTTTGTGTTTAAAGATTACAAAATGTATAGATATATGAATGGAATTAACTATTGTTAATTGAAAAACGTCATTGATATGTTTGAATGTCAAGATGAAGACCAAAGCAGTGGTTTTTCTTCTTGGAAGTTCGTGAATATATTCTGCTTCACAGAAAAGTATAAGCTAGTCAACTAGTAAAGTAGCAAAATAATTGTTCAACTGTCAGATTGGCAATAACAATCTTGACAACGACTTAATTGACATAAAATCCATGTACAACTGTAAATGATTTAAACTTGTTTGACTATTTAAAAAATAAATCAGAAATTTTTCAAATATTAATTTACTACATTTTCGGTTAAAGATATTTAACTTGCATTGATAAGACCGAATAAAGCAAATGTAGATAAAGTACTACAAATTAAGACCTATACTCGGCACTCTGGGTCACTGAGTAGTGCATGTTTTGTTTCTTGCTTGTTTTGTTTGTTGGATTTTGCTAACACCTACTGTGACACAGGACCAGTGTTTATAGTCCCAAACAACGTACCGCTGAGGAATTTAGCCCGCGATGTAAAAATTAACTCCTTACTCCGCGACTTTAAAGCAAACACTGTTTGGTAAATTGAAAGATATAAATGAATAAAAAAGATACAAAAATCATTGAAGAATTAAATGGAAAGGAAATATTAACATAATGCCTCTAAACTCTTACCATTAAAAAAAAATAAACAAGGGTAAATCTTCACCATTGTTTGATCGAACAAGAATAATTACATGAAACACGAAAAAAAATTATTTCCATTATGTAAGTAGAGGTAAATGTATGTACATATAGCATGAATGAACCCGAAACGTGCCCCATATCAAGCGTTTAGATAACTTCTGTCTCTGTGGTCTTGAACTAGAACTCACGGCTTGATTTCGGACAAAATGCGTTTCCTATGCAGGATCATATGTTTTACTTTAGTGATCTCCGTTGTGGCTGATGGTAAATTGAATGGAAATGTCGTTCTTGAATCAGAATCTGTTGAGGAACGTGCAGTAACGTTAAGTCCTGCGGTAGCTAGCAGCCTTGCCGCCAGTCTGCACCATCTCTCCAGCGTTTTTCATCATCTAAACTTTACAGCACTGAAGCATTTAAATCTAACAACACTGGGACACCTTTCGTAAGTACTCTTTTTGAAGAATCATGTAATAAATCTAAACAAAAAGAGAGAGAGAGAGAGAGAGAGAGAGAGTTATAATTAAAAGTCTGAATGGTATAACCGTTGAATTTGTGTGTTGTCTAGGGCTATCTTCGAAGATTGCCCAACTGTGACATTTTTAACGTGAAAACTTACCTTGTAACTTACGTTTTGTTTTTGATTAGTCCTGTCACTCTACATGGAAATGCCACGTAAGTTGCTACACAGAAACGTCAAGTACATGAAAATACCAGGTAGGTAGATACAAGGACATGATACATAACTAGCTACATATAATAGAGAATAGCACTACAGCAGCTTCATTGAATGATACCCAGAAATTCAAGATTTAGAATAAGATGCTTGGCGTTCTAGGTAACATCAGACTTCTTAGATCCGCGCCGTATATACGGCGCATACGGAGTGCATACGGAGCGGATCTAAGTAGTCTGATTTTAATTTAATTGGGGTGCTTAGAAAGAGTAAGCATCCCCTTGCGACCAGACACAACCGATCTGACTTTTTGTGTTGATGAGACGGAATATTCCATGGTCAAATTCAATATAAAAATAAAGCAAGATTAGTTAATGATAACAGATTTACTATATCTACAATAAAAATAGAAAATTTTTATGCTTGTAAAAAAAATCTACTTTTAATTATCGAAATCAACATTTTGTAACTGAACACATTACTATACTGAATCCTTCTGTTAAATTAATAAATGCTTTATTTTAAAAAATCCGATGAATTTCAATACATTTATTTTTTTCAAGCGGGGTTTTCTGGGAGGAAAAAGATATTGATAATTTAATATTAAATTCAATGATTTTAAGAAACCACTGGTGTTGCAATACTGCTACGACTAAGAAAATAGTAAAGAGCCACTCACAGCTGATATACACGAAGCAGATCAGAGACCGTGTTTCACATCACCACTGTGGATTTTTGGGAACGAGTCGCTGTGCACGACACCACTACTACTACATGTATCTGATTTTTTTTATAATTAAGATATCCATTGTATTTCTATGTAGGGAATTCGGTAATAGTTCATACAGTAAAAATACAAAATCCAGAAATTATTTTTTTATATATATATTCTTAGGTTGACTTTGTAATTGTGCTTAGATTTTGCATAGAATATTCGAATAAGCGTTTCATCCGTTCATTTTAACATCCTTTCCATTGAAATTAGATCAGTACCAGCTTATAAAAGGACATACTCAACTCAAACCATCCACACCTCATGTCCAAGTCAAAATCTGGTTTGCTGTAAGGACTACATTCTTATAGCTGATAATTGTGTTCGTAAGTACAATGCTTTAGTCTAATTGTTAATAAGTTTTGAACAACTACATGTTTTTAAAAGGTGATCAAGTAATTACTTTCATGTGTTCTATCTTAGTTTTGCATGATATTGTTTTCAGCACTGAACGAAATTCCCAATATAAAGGATGACTTGATCAAGCTTCATAACGCCAACATTCCTGTTGGGAAATGATTCACTGGGCAAATTTCTAAACAAAAAATAAATTATCATTCTATTTCAAATTTGTTGTTAGTCTCAATATTAAAGAATCAGATATTCTAACTCAATAAGCAGGTATGTTTTTTTTTCTGCTTCAATTATATCATACAGAAGCCTCGGGAATAAACACTCATAATTTAAAGTATTGCTTTCCTGCAATGCTAGTATTTTATTAAATTGATTACAAAATGTTCTAAACATCAACAAACAAAACAAACAAATTGATATTTCAAGTCCTTAAGGTAGTGTTTCTCAGAATGAAACTCTTCCATATATAAATATTGCGAAGAAGATTGTAAAAGCAGGATTTTGATGTGCTTACATGTACTATAATAAAGTTATGATATTTTTTCCCTCAGAATCTGCTCAGAATCTCTCTCTATGTATACATTTATGTCTGCTTGCCTATTCAACCACAATCAAATAAGAACATAAATACTTTTAAAAGAATAAAAATGGTCATTTATCGAAATACATGTATGCAACATATGACAGGGAATCAAAAACACAATATAAAACATATACTAAAGTAAGTAAAGTTATATACCCGGTACATCAACATTAAAAGTTAATTTAAGAGACAAATAAAATCAAGTTTATACCTGAGAGCAACAACGAGTTATATCAAATGACTAGATGCATATACAGTGTATATATCAACACGGGAAATGGGAATGTCAGGAAATTTCTTACTTTGTAAGTTTATAGTAAAAGTGAAGATACGAATGATGATCCATCTAAAAAATTATAAGAATTAAAAAAAATGAAATGGGCTTAAAATACGGACCCATAGAAATTCCAAAGGTGTGATCATTTGTCCATTTGCAAGTTGCAATAATTTTTGGACTATTTCTAACCCTGCACCATGAAAGCAATTAAAACAGAAATTTGAACAAAAGTATTTCATGATAAAAGCATTTGTTAGGCTTAATCTAAAATTTTCACAACATTATCTATTTCACAGATTTTATAAAATTACAATTTTTCATAAAACATGTATAGTTATATTTGGAAACTTTGTCATTTACAATCTTCTAAAAATCTTCTGTTAAAATGTTTCCTATATAAAATCTTCTGTTAAAATGTTTCCTATATATATATAAAGTTCAGAAGGAAAATAGTTACCTTTTATAGTTCATGCATAGCAAAGCTATACCCCAGGGTATAGTTTTTGCTATCCACCCTCGGAAAATTTTGATGCAATTTTTGCCTCCAATATTTTGATTTCCAGCGATAAAGAAATAAACAACGTTTTTCAGTGAACATGGCGTTATGAATAGCAATTGCTCTGCTGGCATATTCCATGATGCGCGCTAGCGCATCATGGAAAATATGCCAGCAGAGCTATTGCTATTCATAATGCCATGTTCCTTGAATAATCGTTGTTTATTACTTATATTTGCATTTTTTGATTTTTTTTTCAAGAATATCAGAGGAAATCCTGACTTACATAGGGACGCTGAAGGCTTCTTGTCTTCAGTAAAGAAAAACATACAGCTTTAAAATCAGTACACCTGATCAATGCTCTTTTTCTCTAATAAATCACGAACAATTTTTAAAGTATTTCCCTCTCAAACACAGTTATCTGGATACAAGCAGCGCCGTCATCACATTCTCTTAAGGTAAGTCATTCGTCAGCTTTTTAGAAAAGTTCACGCAGAAGCTTTTACTTCAAAACTACTTATTAAAATTCAATATTTATATCATATTTAAATTCAACAATGTAAATTTTTTAACATTCAATGAAGAAACTGCTAAAAAATCTACAAAGAAGCAAGATTTATGAGGGACTATTTCTTTTGGTGGAAGGATATTTAGCAGAAAATTCTGCAAATCTGCACATTTATAAAATTTAATGTAATGGAAATTTAGCCTCACATACTTTTACTCGGAGCATATTTTCCGTTTTGATATTGCTAAAAAATATTTAATATAAGTCTTAATTAATATTTTTAGACTAAGTTTTACACCTTCCCTCAACAAACTTTTCCAAAAAATGAAAATATATTAAAGAAGTCAAGATCAAATTTACACCATTTTTTACCTGAAAATCATATTTTGACAAATATTTCAAAATTAACATCACTAACCCCACCTTTTTCTTTCATTATTTTAAACTACTCGATACTTGTGACTGATCAGCACTTAAGTCGTAAAAAGTTTGATATAAGAAAAAATTTTATTGCCTATAAAGTTTTAATACCCCAAATATGTTATTTTTTTAGTGCAAAAAGGTCACACAATAATTTACGCGCATTAATTTGCAAGATTTGTTTAATGATAAATATTATTCAAACTATTTTACGTAAAATAAGATTATATTAATTGCCATGCTTACATCTGATCAAATATAAAAAGGGTTAAAGTAATTAACCAAAGAGATGAAATTTAAGTGCAAAAAGGTCAACTTAAATGTACTGTAGATCAGTAGGATGCGCACTGACCTCCTATTTTCTTTGCGATTTTGAGTTACACTTTATGAGTACTTATCCAAAATATACTTCTCAAAAAATCCTTGATTTAACAAATTTCAGGAGTGACTTACCTTAATTTTTGTTTTGATGCAGTTGTGACGTCATCCTTCAACGTTATTGAAACCCTCTGACAAAATCAATAATTTAACGCTATGATGAAAAATGAGAATGCTTCCATAATGAATATTACCCCAGAATGTTTTTCTATGATTTTTTTTTTAGTTTTTCTATTTATTTTCAATAGCTGAAATCATTCTTGAAATAGATATACTAGTTAAAGAAATTTTCTCTTTCTGAATGTTATTACTCAAGTGTGAAGAGTTATCGTTCTTTGTACAAATATGCATGATACGAAAAAATAAAAATATGACAGTTCTCTATAATTTTTGAAAATTTTATTATACAATTAAATACATCAACCAAAATTAAATTTTTAAAGATATAAATCAGCAATTTTAAATATTGTGAATTTCTTTTTTTTCTTCAAAGAATATTATTAAAACTTATATTTATTCCTCTGACGAAACATTTCATATATATACTTCTCAACACGTACTGTGCGTATATTGGAGCCTATCTACACGAGTGTGTGAAGCTGTTGCGTCTATAAACCTATGAAAACAGTTGGTGCGTACATGTTTATAGTGGGAGAGAGCAGTGGATATGCAAATACTTACTGATGGTGTCATAATGACTTCAGTAGCATTGTGACGTCATCAGGATTTCAGATTATTCTTGCAGTATTATTTTACTCAAAAAAAATTCAAACCTCAGAAATTATATTATACATCAGTATAATAAAACGCTTATTCGCTGGTTGTGAGTGGGATTAATAGAATTATTCATTACTACGAGTGTGGGATAGTGAAATTTCACCAAGGGGACAAGATTCACAGTCTAGGATGAGGCTGTGCCGAGTCCTAGACCGTGAATCTTGGCCTCGAGGTGGAATTTTACTATTCCCACACGAGTAAGTAATGAATGATTATTTTTCTCGCATTATTTTATCCAAAATAACGGCCTGTCAATGACGTCGCCATAGGGCTAAAAAATATTTTTTAAATTTTCAATCTAATTAAAAATCGAAATACACCATCGGAGAGCGCGTACCTGAAAATGGTTTAAACATAGTGTAAACTAATAAAATGAATTTCAGTTCATGTAAATCAATTAGACAGATTAAAACTTTGAATAAAGAAAATTATTTATCCGATTCATTCTAGAAGAACTCTTCCGCGATCTAAATATAGTGCCATTTAAAAAGTGAAAATACGACAATATTTTGAATGAAAATAAGTTTATTTTAATAAGTTACATGACAACATTTTAATTAAATGTGACATTTTTTAACATTATTACAATTTCTTTATATTAAGACGGAATGTTTACGTTATCGTTCACGGCGTAGTAATACACAGTGTAAGACAGAAAAATCTCACACTGCTGTCTCACACCGTACAAGTCAATCTATGCGAGAAAGCTCTTTTATCAAACCCTTGACAGGGACTATTCCCCTTGGGCAAGCCTTCGGGGAATAGTTCCCTGTAAGCGCTATCCCACTCACAACCAGTGGACAAGTGTAAGTGTATAATATTATATTATAAGTATAAGTGTATGATATTAGGACAACTGTAATATTACATTTTTTCGTAATGTACTGGACTGTCCAGGAGGAGAAAGCATCCCCTGTTGACGGGTCACACCCCTCGTGAGCCCTATGTATATAAGTAAGTAAGACAAGTAAGTAAGACAGTGTACCTTACACTTCATGTAGCATTGCATAATGTGTTGTGTTTAATTATGTAAATTTTATTTTAATCACACTCCCTTAAGTGTGCAAAGTTAATGTATTTATCTTGTACAGACGCAATAAATCAAAGACAATTTTTTTTTATGTTTTTTTTTAAATTCATTTGGCGCTTTTGTGCACGGCTGAATGATATAACATCATATTATTTGGGTCTCCAAAGCAACGGGTAGACCCAGCAACAACAACAACATTTCTAAAATCTACACTTAGCCATTGTTTTCTAAAATTTGATTAACACCAACCTTGCAACTAGCGTGTACCCGGTGTCGCATAATATTTGGTCCGCCTCGTTTAAAGGTCCGGCCGGACCAAATACGATAACATATTAGGTCCGCCTGGCTCTATAAGAAAAGGTCCGCCCTCGGCCTATTATATGAATTGTATGCCTGTGTTCATTCGATATTAATTGAAAAACTACTCATTTAAAATTAATTGAGGATATAAAGTCGTATTAATAGCTAGTGTTTCCTCCAAGAGAATGTAGTAAACAATAAGTAAGAAATTAATACATAAATAATATATTTATTAAAGAAATGTATAGATTTATTGATCGAGTTTCCTGTCGGGAAGATGGGACATGCTTATTTTGTCGTTTAAATACACTGGTATCAACATTATCATTTTAAAAAATATTAAGAATACAAATGTACATACATTTACCTTCACCGCCTGTTTACTGGCAGATTAATCAGTATGCAATGAACAGATGAGTGTTC